GTGACATGGACAGATGAGAAATAAAAGATGAAAAATGTACTTCTCAGTGCTAACTAGTGGACAAAGTATGTCATGGCAACACAACATATATTTTAAATTTCTGTGCTGCATCATTTTGTCACTTGAGTAAATCACAATGTTAAGCTAGGATCATCCTATAAAATCAACAACAGCTGTATAGCCAAGAGGAGATTCAAATATTGAATTATCACTCAGCTAAATTGACTGAACCTTTGCTTACGATATGATAATAAAAATAACAGACTCACCAGTCTGGTAGTAATTCTCTGTGGGTGTCCTCTGAGCTGAGACTATACTTGTCTGGTAGTACTGTTTATTGTCATAGGTGGTCACAGCGGCAGGGCGTCCGTAACTGTAGTTGTCCTGCTGAGAGGAGAGAGAGAGGATTAAAACCAATTAAAAAACAGATAACTGCATTTAACATCTTAACTCTGTATGTAATCATCTTTAATACAAGGATTTTTTTGTTTGTGAAAAATGAGATTGTCGTGATGATAATCGGTGCAGTAGCTGAATGCGTTGCTGTCTGCCCTTTGAATAGTGCATTTATATATCACATTCTAGGACTCAGAATCCCACAAGACCACATCATGCAATAAGAAGGTGAATAGCAAAAATCATGAAGGAAGCAGAAAGAGACTGACCGTGTCTGAATATACCTGGTACGTCTGTGGGGTGGTGGTGGGCTGCGGCGGGGCCGGAGGGTCCGGCTGCCTGTAGGTGTACTCAGGAGGGGCCTGGTGGCTCTGATAAGCAGGGTAAGGGGCGGAGACCACGGGACGTGCTGCCTGGACCGGAGCTGGAGAGTAGGACGCAGTCACTGCATGAGCCACAGCTGGAGCCTGCTGGACACTGTAAGTGGCTGTTGAGGGATGGGAGTAGGCCGGGGGAGGCTGGGTACTGAAGGAGAGGAGAGAGAGGGATATTAAAACAAGCAATACAATAAACTTCAGACTCTCTACAACCTTTATCCAGGAGGAGACACTGATCTAGTGCAAGAAAACCTGTTTTCTATCATTACAGTCCAACAGAACACAAAAACAGTCTTCACAGCATTCATTCGCCTGCTTGATTGAAAAACACGGAAAAGGCAATCTGTGATCAAGTTACTTAAACTAATACCAAGCCCTTAAACAAACTGCTGGATGATATCCAAGTTATTTACACCACAAGCAACCATGATGGCTAATTATCAATAGGACTGGTTTGTAGTGACTGAACAGTGCCTCAGTGAGGAGGATCATTTTAACTCAGTTTATTCTTGTGTTTTGTTACCAACAAATTTAACTGCATGATGTTTTCAAATAATAATAATAATACATTTCTATAGCAGTATTTTCTAATAGCATGTATCTAAAACAAGTTTGCAATGATCTTTACATAATACATTGGAATAAAACAAAATGAAGAAAGATTGACAAAATGTTGACAAGTCTAATCTCGAAAGGCAAATGGTTCCAAAGCCCTGATGGCAAAACCCTAAGATTACAGTTTGGAGCATTACTAGTTAGTAGCTCTGTAATATAACTGGGGGAATGACAACACTGAGCTTTAGAAGTTATTTAAAGAATCTTAACATCAACCAAATTTCAACTGGCAGAAATTTGAGAGATGCGAGTCCTACACTTGGTGTTGGGTAAAATGTGTTGTTAGCATTTTTTCAGATGCAAACATTAGTCACTGGCAAGGCCACAAGTGTCAGGACAGACATGAACATGAGCGGGCTAAAATTAAATGATGACTTAAGGTCATAAAACAGCGATAACACTGATTCGTCATCATAGAAACATATCTAGGATCCAAAGCAAGTACAAAACAGTAAATAGACAAATTCACACAACCAGTGAGAAGAGATTTGAAGAAATAACATTTTCCATCTGTGTTTTGTCTGTTGAGCTTCCTCTACAGAAATGCCTGTAATCAAATCACCTCATTCAGTGCATGAGACTGTGAATAGCGAGGAGGCACGAACTGAATTTCTGAGATCTAATTGTTAAATCATGGAAGTCCTACATACCATGCAGTGACAGGATTTCTGATTATACGGGTCTGACAGCACTCTTCACACTTCACTAGCAAAAATAAACAAGAAAGGGAATCCATAAGTTAAGTTTAACACTAAGCTCTTGACCGACTTGTCTGCCTGCAACTAAAACTGCTAACAGAGAGCCTCTGTTGATAAAAGTTTGGACAAACAATGTCTGAAGCTTAATAATGGATCATTGCAAAATAAACAGCTCAGAGTTATGAAAACAGAAAGGGCTGAATGACAAAAAAACATAACTGTAAAATGATTTGAATACTCAGGTATCAGATTTTGCTGTATTCTTTATACCATTGTAGTCAGCACTTTGATATCTGTGGATTTGTGATGTAATCGTGAGAAATTTTGAAAATTAATCTGCAATAAAATGTTATTGAGGATTTTTGCATCAAAATGAAAAAAATGATAAATATGTCTTATAATTTATTTTCTGGATTAAAAATTCCTGTCATGTGCATGATGGAAGATTTGTATATTTATTATCATTTCAAGCACATTTACACTAACTGTAATTACTAATTTGGCTGACATATAATAATAACCTGCAATTATTTTAGACAATTTATAGAGTAAAAATGCCCAAAACATAACCTGTGATTATCACACTCAATTCTTTATAATGAGCAGCACCAGGTTTTACATAAGCCAACAAACAATTAAAGAGACGCTTGAATGAGTGAACAATGCTGCAGTGATGACTATGTGGCCTCTTGCCTTTGCCCAGCAAAACAATATATTGAGTAAGAAGAGCAAAAGACACAGAGACTTGTTTACAAATTAAAGAGCTAGAGAGGAAGCCTATTAGTACCATTACGTTATAAAACCCTAAAAATTTTACGACCCGTGTCGATTATCAAAAACCTTTAATTTCTGGATTTTATTTCAAATTGAAGGATTTAAAGGATTCCTTAGGGAGAGATCTCACTGCACCTCTGCAGCTCCAACACACTGACACACAGAGGGATCAGGTGTTTAAGTTCAACCAGGTTCAAACAGATCCTACAGACTGATCATCGATGAGCTCGGATCAGAGGAAGAGTTTGGAGAATAAACATGCCAATGACATCTGATCACCTGTCAAACTCACAGATCAGATGTTTGTCACTCTGACCAATGTTCACCTCCTCTCACCTGTCTCTCCCTGTTGACATCGCCATCGTCATTAGACATTTACCCACAACCAACACAGTGAGTGAGACACAGGGGCTTCAGCGGTGCAGGAGCAGGGTTAGCCCCCCTCTCCTAATCCCACACACCGGCCACAGGTCACAGCTGCAGCCGCTGGCTCTCCCGGCACCAGCCTGACACCTCCTGTCACTGACACTCATGTTAAACTGCGTGAGGGGCTGAAGCGTCGGGAGCAGCTGTCCGAGTAAGGACGAGCCGGGGTTCACCTAATGTCAGGCGGCATGTCGTGAGGCGCCGGCCTGCGGACCCAGCGAGCTAATGCTAACAAAGCTAGTTGCCTCTCCGCGCACCGAAGCCCCACCACTGACCGAGTCACCGCCGATACGCGCCCGCCACTGACACCCGAAGCGCCGCCGACACGCTGACACCGACCGGCTTCGCTTCATTTACCTGTACTGAGGACCGGCAGCATGTGTGAAGCCGAAATAGTTGCTTGCAGCCATCTTGGCATCTCCAGTACAGTCAATGGGCAAACAGCAGACAGCAGCAGAGAGGCTGACCGTCAAGATAGTTCACCTCCCATCGGCCCCTGCGTCACCAGTACACACAGGAAGTACGTCACACACAGAGAGATTAGTTTATCTTAACTGTGGTTGTTATTTATACTCTGTCAACACGTGTTAATGTCATGTCAAGATAGATAGATAGAGTACTTTATTCATCCCCGGAGGGAAATTAAGGATACAATACAGTAGTTCTCTAGTTTTGCTGTTGACCTTTCCCCCCTGTTCTTTATTCATAAACACAATGGTGTTTTAATCCAGATATATAAACGGCCTGATTGTATTTTAGTTTTCTCCTGGATGGACAAAAAATGTGATATATATATACATATATCTGGCACATGTGCACTACAGTTCTAAATTATTTGGTATTTAAATAAAGTGAAAATAATTTTAAAACAGTAATTACATTGAGTTGTTGCTTGTTAATATTCTGTCAAATGACAAATGGGTTCAGTTCTAATGTCACATACTGCTGTTAACCTTAGGCTATAGACATTTGTATTTGAGATATTAATTCATAAAATTAAAAGCAGGCGATGTTAAAAAGGTAACGTGCAAGTGTGTCAAAATTAAACTTAAGTAAACGCAGTAAAGTTAGTTCCATTGCACCACTGCAGATTGTTTTGTCTGTTCGTGCACGTGTCGTTTCATGTGTGCAACATGATTTAAAGAGACAAAACACGTATCCTCCTCTTGGAGCTATACGACGTTGAAGCGAAGACGGAAGTAGGTAGAAGTGAATCCTCTCATCTCTCCTGCACAGGCTCCTGCGGTATCAGCTGCATGTCAGTCACGCTTGCACCGAGTTTCTGTCTAATGTAAACCAACCCACAGGCTGTGAGTCTGCAGCCAGAAGATTTAAATAGAGCATCATATTCAGATCCTCACTCAGAGTTAGAGTAAACCTACATCTGCACATCTATTTCTTACAGATAGTGTAAAATAATGACCTTGGGTTTTGCGTCTCAGGAGCAGCACAAAATTAAAACCAAATAAAATAAAATTAACCTATTAACATATTATTAAACTTCTGCTGGTTACTACTGCTGCCAGAGGCACAAGCATCCTCGAATAGAAAGGGGCCTTTTGTAGAAACATGCAGAGTAAATCAGAATGCTGAGCAGGGAAACTGGAGGGGTGATATGATTGGTCATGTGCAAGTGAAGTCAGGGGAAGAATAATTAATGTGTGTGGGGAGAGTTGGGGTAAGAGAGATGGGGTGAGGAGACAGAGAGGGAGGGGAGATGCTCTGCATGGAGAGTGATGCTGTTGCCAGGGAACAGCAACCACATAGAGGACCACTGAAAACAGCAGGTTTCATCTAATGGAGTAAAGGGACACAGAGACTGGTGTGAAAAGCTGCCTCCCCAGAAATGATGTGGATACAAGACTGGAACTGAATTAGAGGTAAGGGGGAGAAAAAGGTTGTCCAATCAGATGCTGAGAAAGAGGTGAGTAAAATCATGATACCAGAGCAGATGCAGCCTAATTTAAGGATTTTTGTGTATCTGGGTGGTGTGGATGCAGGAGCTGAGAGGCACTGCTGTCGTCTCGCTCTTCACGGCCAGTCTTTCTCCAACAAAGGTGGCCAGAGGCAGAGGAGACGAGGAGGAGGAGGAGGAGGGGGGTCCATCACAGACAGAGGTGCCCCCTGTCTCCAGACACCTGCTGCTGGCGAGCGGCTGACATCGAGGACACTGTACGACTGTGTCTGTGCACGAGTGTGTGTGTATGCATTTGAATTAGCCAAACACTGAGAGCAGGGCGAGGGGGAGATTGCAACCCGACCGATGCTTCCCCGCAGGCGTGAGGGGATCAGGACTTTCTTCCCTCGCATCTTTGCATCTGTGACCCAGCAGGAGGAGGAGGGAGGACGCACAAGCACAGACCACAGAGAGGGTTTCGAGGGGATCTTGCACCGCTCATGTGAGTCAACGTCCATGCATTTCTAATCTGCTTGCACCTTTTACACCTTGCACATTAGACGTCCACTAACATTTGACTCTTTTTGCAGCATTAATATTCCAACAAAAAATGGAATGACAATGGTTGTACATGAACAGGGTGTTTAAATGACCTGTGATAGGTTATAGACACATATAATAATATATTATGTAATGATATATATAGTCCATATTATCCAGCATCACTGGAAATGTTTCCTCTGTGTAAAACATGGCTGTGTTCCAGCTCATACAAGTGTTGCTGCCAAAACCATTAGAACCATTGCCACTGTCATTGACTCTATGTGTTGCTGCATGGTTGTCATCATCACACTCGTTGCTGGTTGTACCACATTTTGTCATCACAGTGTTATAACTCAGACACTGGGATTTCATATATAAGCAGAGAAGTACAATAGGACTTAACGTGCAGTTAAACAGGAATCTTCATTAGCCTTTTTTGGCTTCTCAAATCCCCTGCACAATGTTTTAACTTTTGACTCTTTAGTTTTTTAATATACATAATGTGCAAATAAACTATATGCTGTATGTTTTTTCCCAAATCTTCATCACTATGTGAGTTCTCTTTAAACTCTCAATCACAATTGAATGAATATCTGGTTTGAACTGAAGATTTTTCTATTAAAACCATTGGGAACATAAAGCACGAGTGTGAACTGAGATCAAAGAGTCAGATGCTGCATCAGTCGGGTTAGATTAAGCAGCAGCGAGCAGAGGGATTAAATGGTCAGAAAGTTGTCCTGCACTCTGGCCTCTTGAATTCCAACCAGCAGCAAATTCATATCCAATATTTGACTTTCATGAGAATAGAGCTGCAGAAAATGGGCTCTGTCCGATTCAGTCACATGCCTCTCACATGTGCCCCTGTGGGCAGGGGGATAACAAACCATGTGACCATGCAGCGTTGGTATCAGCCCCTAAATTGTATTGAAAAATTGTTCATTATTTGGACAAAAGATTCACAATGCTGACTTTTACCTCTGTCATTAATTCCAACTCGTGTATCTGTGGTGCCGCCTGAGGACACTCGTTTCATTTGACAGCTTTCATCTGTTGTAAACGATTTTCATTAAGAAGTGGTTTCCCTCTTCCCACCTGCAGGCCCCGGCTCTCCTCTCTGAGGGATGGGCACCACAGAGGCGACTCTACGCATGGAGAACATGGAAGTGAAAGACGAGTGGCAGGATGAAGACTTCCCCAGGTGGGTTCCTTTTTCATTTCTATTGGTCATCATCTGTTCTGCTCCATTACTGTCAAATACAGATTGATGTTGACGGTGGAGAATATACTGAAGAGAAGAGAAGCTTAACACATCTCTAAGAGCTGTGTTTGTTTATACCATGTGGCACATGTTTGTGAATGTGTGTTTGTACGAGTACATTTAACACATTTGAGTAAATATTTGATTATATGTGAATAAATTCGTAGTTAATTACAGATTGATTTGCATTTAGCATTATAGGCTGCGTCATATGACTTTCAGTTTGGTTTACTTTGTATAGATGCATTGATATTTATATTCATGTGGGCTTTACCTCTACCAAAGAGGTTATGTTTTCATCTGTGTTTGTTTGTTTGTTTGTTACCAGTTTTCATGACAAAATGCAGAAAAGAACATAAGAAAGAACACAAAGATTTTCTTTAACGTTGTGAGACATTTTCATTCCTTTCTAAGAGAATAATGATTGAATCTTGATGGAAAAAAACAGGCATGTTTAATGAACTAATTTAAATGCGGTTTCACAAGAGGACATGTTGGGCCGTGATGGAGCTTGGTGCTCGAGTGACATTCTGGTTAAAATATAGACACTTTCTATTTTGGGAAATAATGTTGCGTGCGTTCTGCTTTCTGTGCATCGGTAGAGCAATTTTTAAACTGTATAGCTGTCCTCATGTGAAATGATTAGCACAGTAAGCGTTGAGGTCAGGGTGACATTTGATATGATGTTCACAGTGAGAGGCTCTGAAATAGGACATCTGATCGATGGTCTGTCGCAGCAGGAGAGGAAACTGAGAGAAAGGTAAATTATTAAATACATTTTATGTTGGTGCAATCAAACAGAAGCAATTCAGAAATTGCAGGCGTGGTATTCGAAGATGAGAGGTTTGAATGAAAATCTTAATGCGCAGAAAAGAGCAGTCAAGAGAGAGATGTGTGTTGCCAGTTAGTGCTGAGCTCCCTCCTCCCTTCCTCCTCCTCCCTCCTCCTCCTCCTTGGATGGGAAGCAGGAAGCCAGGGAGCAGGTGCACTGTGGTCTGTCTACGTCATGTGACGCAGCAGCAGTCACTGATCAACAACACAGCATCGCCAGGAAAATGGTGGCAGGTTTTTGGGAGAAAAGCAGACAGAGACTGAGGAATATTCAGCAGCAGATGGATTATTGAGGTGTAGCCTCAGAGTGATGCTCTTCCCTCATCAGCTCAGAAGACTGGGAATGGTTAAACAGAGCAAACACAAAGGTGTGTGAGGTTAAAAGGCTCATTTGAATCGGCTCTTGACAAAAGCAGCTTCCTCCTGAAGGTAAGCATCATCAGTTAATCCTGATATTGATGTAGCTGGAGGACAAAGCAGCCGTAAAAAGAGAGAATATCTTGCTTTTGTTGAAAGAATAAATCCCCATCAGACTATTATGTTCATAGAAAAGGGCTTCGGTTCTGACAAAGGAGGTGTTGGACTGTTAATCAGTGCACGGCTCCTCAGGGAATAGATTCAGACTGTTCAGTGGTTGTGTCTCTGGGCTAAAACCAGTGTTGTTGCCTGAGGAGGAGCATACACACACACATACACARACACACACACACACACACACACACACACACACACACACACACACACACACTGCCTGACACTGTGCTCCTGCAGATGGGTGGGAGAAGCAGTTGGCTTTCACGGGAATGCAGCTAAAAACTCCCCCCTGCTGAATAACACTGCGCTGTAGCTCCCTGCTGCAGCTCTTTTAACACTTAGCTGTACGCGTCTGTTTTCAGTCCTGTGGTCTCTTTGGTGTTGTTGCTGATCGGCACTAAACCACTCAAGAAAGGCCATCTGCCATCAATCAATCAAACTTTATTTATAAAGCAGCTTCTTATCAAATGTAATTCAAAGTGGTTTACAGGTGACTGACTAAACTTAGGATGTTAAAAAATATTTTAATGGGTAAAAATGAATGACTTAAACTGATTTATAGACCAGTGCACACCATTAATAATAAAGAAGACAACAATAAAATATGAAAATAACAATGAGCATTAAAAACAACAAATGAAAAAGTATTACATAAAATAAATTATAGGCAACTACATTGGTATAAGGTCAATAAAGCTAAATATAGTAAAATAAATGATGAGGATCAATATTAACATTTTAGTAAAATAAAATAAATAATGTATAGAGTATAAAGTAAAAAAATATTATTATTTAAAATAAATAATTGCATAAAAGCCAGACTAAATGGCTTTTTAATTTATGTTAAATAATGTGCATAGGTAAATGAACATGCACACACACACACACACACACACGTATATTAAGAGCAGGATTTCGACCTCACTCCTCTCTTCAGTGCAGGTTGTCAACAGTAAATAACAGAGCTTTGTGGAGACACACACAGAAGCAGTCTTCTCCTCTCTTCCACTCGTTCCTTGTCTCTCATTCCTCCCCCTCTATCCTCCATTAAACTTTCCTCCCTCTGTAATCTTCATCCTTCCCCAAAGAGACCTTAATTACCATCTCTATCCTCTTCAGCTTGCAGCTCTTTTTAATGCTTATAGCCAGATCAGTGACAACATCCACGTCTAATCCTATTCACAATGTTACATTTTGCTGTGTGGACAAGGTCATAGAGACCTTTGCATGTTGGAGAACAGAGAGAGAGAAATATAAATCGCATTAGCCATAGTTATGGATGCTTTAATTTACGTAGGACCCTGTGAGTCGTCCAAGTGGCAGACTCACAATTGTTTGGCAGAACCTTGACTTTGTGTTGTATTAGTATTGTACTGTATATTCTTCTCAGCAAGCACAGTCATGTTTGTTTATCTGTGCATGTTTCCCTACAGACCACTACCAGAGTACGGAGACATGGATCCCTCCTGTGGTCTCACAGACAACAGAGGCTGTAAGTATCACTGACAACTGGATCATCACTGATGGATGGATGAGTTCCTTGATGATTTCTCCTCTCCCCTCCTCTGTAGCTCCCCCTAACTCCCTGAACGTGAGCCCACCTGGAGGAGGAGATGGCGGTGTGTCCTCATCCCACCGTAAACGCCGCACGTTGCTCGCCCCGGAGATGAACCTGTCCCTGGATCACAGTGAGGGTTCTCTGCTGTCAGATGACTTCCTGGACACACCGGACGATCTGGACATCAACGTTGATGACATCGATACACCAGATGAGACGGACTCTCTGGAGTTCATCACCAATGGCAACGAGTTGGAGTGGGAAGGTCAGGGGTTAAAATAAATATGCTCAACTATACTTTTTATTCAGATTTTATAACTCTGACCTTCAACTTCCCAAACTAGATTCAAGATTATGTTTTGAGGTCAGTTTCTCATGTACTGTAATATGAATCTATATCTATTATCTAAATCCAACATAAGATATATTAAGACTATAAATTAAGACTATATGCTGAGGTTTGTAGAATCAGTAGAATCTTATACGTCTTATTCACTTTCCAGTTCTAATGTTTTATCTGTTTTATTTCTTTGTTTCTTTGCTTTGTTGGAACTTATTCTATTTATCTTTGTGTTCAGACGACACTCCGGTGGCCTCGGCCAAAGCAGGTCCCGCTAATGGCTCAGGAGAAATGGACGAAGAGGGGAACACCAACAATGGACGCCTCTGGAGAACTGTAATCATCGGAGAACAGGAGCATCGTATTGACATGCAGGTCATCAGACCTTACGTACGGGTCATCACACACGGAGGTCAGTGAAATCCATTTGATAACTCAGTGAAGGCCTTACTCTCTAGTTATATACAAAGATGAATTAATGCAGTGAAACAACACAACCTTTATTCCTCATGTTATTATCAGGTAAACACCAGTGAGAGAGACGTAAAGATTTCATCATACCTCAGTTAACTGTTGCTGCTTGAACACTGTCTGTGATTAATTGGAACTTTCTCTCATCAGGATATTATGGAGAGGGACTCAATGCCATCATTGTGTTCTCCGCCTGTTACCTGCCTGACAGCAGCTGTCCGGATTATCACTACATCATGGAAAACCTCTTCCTGTGAGTCAAACATGGCTGACTTTTATATTCCCAGTACAAGCTTTGATGCCGTACATGAATGGATTACTGATTATCTAAATAATAAGCTCCCAAATCAGAACTGACCTACGTTCACCTTGTGGGAAATTGGACAAACCGTTGTTGTGTATGTCTTTGCCCGTGAGCTTCTAAGTGATCCTTTATCCTTTCATACAACTGTTTTGGAGTCAGTGTTTCCCAGAACAAAACGCACCTCCTCTCTCTTCCAGCTACATGGTGAGCAGTCTGGAGATGCTCGTGGCTGAAGATTATCTGATCATTTACATGAACGGAGCCACGCCTCGCAGTAAGATGCCTGGGATCAGCTGGCTCAAGAAATGTTACCAGATGATTGACAGAAGGTAAGGAAAAGAGAAACTACAGGAAAACAAACTGCTCCATCCTATTGATTTGCAATCTGAATGTAAATATTTCATGATACTTACATCACTGTAAGAATCTTTCTATCCTGTTCTGTAAACCTCAAACATACAGATACAGTATGTTTATGAAGCTGATACTGACAGACACAAAACAGAGAGGGAAGTTGTGTTGATCCACAGCTTCTATATATGAAGAGTCTGCCTGTTATTTATGTTGTGATGGCAGATTGAGGAAGAACCTGAAGTCTCTGGTCATCGCTCATCCCACGTGGTTCATACGCACAGTCCTGGCTATTTCTAGGCCTTTTATCAGGTGATACACACAGACACCAGTGACTGTATGATTAAGATGGACATTATTTTATTACAAACTCATTATGTTAAAATTTCCAAGATGTTTAATGTGTTGACAGCTGCCTTTTACACAAAAATAAAACAAAAAAAGTGCATTGATAAATTATCAGGACTATAATGTAACCTATGATTGTGTTGTTGTGGCCTCCTTATCATCCACAGTGTGAAGTTCATGAATAAGATCCAATATGTCCACAGTCTGGATGAACTGGCCGAGATCGTCCCCATGGAGCACGTCCACGTCCCCGAGTGTGTGGTGCAGTAAGTGTCTCTGACCACTAGATAGAGGAGATGAGCTGCAGGAGTGAAACTCAACCTGTGGGCAGTAGGGATACTTCTGCTGAATGTCTTCAGTAAAATAATTATTTCAGTGTTTGAATGAGATTATCATACTCTTCTCATATTTACTGTGTGAATTGAGGATATTACAGTGTCACTCATTTTCAGATTTGATGAGGAGAGGATTAAAGTCAGGAGGGAAAGGTAAAATAGATCCATCATTTCTCATTTAATTTTGACTTACATAAAAATACATTACCTATACAGAATTACACTCACGCTGTCTGTGCCTGCAGGATGGAGCAGGAGCAGAGGCAGCAGGAGCAGCAACAGTCAGTCCCTCAGGAGTCAATGAAAAAGTCTTCAAGGTATCAGTCCTCACTGAATTTAATTTCATATTTTACATTTATCTAGTTGGGACGTTGTCTTCTTATAAGTCTGTGTATTGTTTCTCTCATTTTCAGGCCAAAGTCGATGATAGTAGATCAATAGTTGTGAGAAGGACAGAACTCTGCAGGTGGGTAGTTTCCTCCACTTCTTTTTATTATCCACAAGGTGGCACTGTGCTTTGAAATGGAACCACCACATTGCTGATTGCATTTCTACCTAAATAGTAATTCCACGTTTAGATATATTTCAATACAGACACAAGATTTAGGGCAGAGTAACATATTTTTAGGGCATGTGCTTTCTCTTTTGTCTTTGTTAGATTGCATTAATTGGAATAGAATACTTGTAGGAATTCCCTTAAAGTATTTAAACAGCAAATTGAATTCTGCTTCCTTTTCTATCTGAGCACAAGTTGTGGTATGGGCCTGAGAAAGACGTCAACATATAAATAAGCTTCAGTTAAACATGTGCTCAAATTGAATATGTGTGAATCTGCAGTGTGAGATTATCATTTTTATACAATACCAGACTAACTGTGTGCATCTATTGTACATTTACGTTAGCACAACGGCCTGAAGACAACAACTCTGCCTGTTTGTGTGAGTGTGTGAGTTGGTGCAGAGAGGGAGGGGGTGTTTTAACCTTCATTCACATTCAGATATACAGTTTTTTAGAGTTCCTCCATTTTCAGGGAGGGATGTTTCCTGCCTGTTGTTTCCACAACTTTACACACTAATGCTCGGCCGTTAGATGAATTTGCCTTTTAGCTTCTTTTGAACATCATCTTCTAAAGTGACCTTCATAATTAGCAGTTAATGGATGAATGTTGAGTATCTGCTTGAATTTAATCTAAGTTCTTAATTTTTCCTTGCAAACAGCACGAATTTATAGTCAAGTTAACACACAGCATAAAACCTTGAGGGAGAACAGATGCTGTTAGATAAGCTGATGTAAACTTGTGTCTATCGGGTCCAAAACGAAGGCCGCATGATACAAATGGCATTTTCATAGACTCAACAGCCAACAGGAGTAAGTCCTATCCACAGCAACATGGAGTCTGAGCTGGTTTGAACCTGCTGGTTTGAGAACATAAACAGTAGTATGCTCTGTTTTGCTGATAAAGGTCATACGATTGAAATTCCAATGATAATAATTCATAAAACTGCTAATAATACATTGATTTAAAACAGCAAACAGTGTGTAGGAGCAATTCTTAGCTATGCAGTCTAAAGTTCAAACTCTTGTTACTATGGAGTTTATTTATGTCGTGATCAATAGATTGACTCTTTAGCTGTTATGTTTTCCCTCAGGGGAAACCAGACAAGTCTTCATTTCACAAGATTCCGAATTTAATTGGCACATGACTGATTTAAAAGAATGTAGTGATTCAAGTCTCACTTTGATCAGTAGGAAACAAAACTTTTTTTAATGTGTGTGGCAACTAAAAGATGGTATTTAATTATCTTAAAACTGCCAAAAAATATGAAGTAATACACAGTTGTGTCCCAGTTCATTTATTATCCAGCCAACCAGGGTGGTGGGGGAGCAGGTGCCAATCCCGGCTGACGTTGGGAGAGAGCAACCCCAGCCTGGACTTGATTCATTATATAAAACTCGAAAGATATTTCTTTATAAAGATCAGACGGAGACAAAGTTCATAAAAATGTTTCTTGGAATTACTCATTTGAATTGATGTTAGTTTTGTCATTTTCATTTACAAACATTTCCTTCTCTTTCTACAGGATGTGACTTAAGTGTTGAGCATGAAACCTTTGATTAAGAAGCAGTTTCCTTATTCTATCAACATCCAGCTGAACATTTGTTCCATCGTCCTCCAGTCCAAACTTTGAGCGCTCCATCTCTCCTCCCTCTGTCTGGAACCCTGGAACCATCTTGTTCTTTCTCTGTGAGAGGTGTAGATATCACTGAGGAAGATGCTGCTCCACTGAGCTTCACTACTTTGCAAGAACTGTTTCTTGATGAAAACTGAGTTCATCAGTTCATTACCCTGCTGTGTGGTCACCCATATTGAAATGTTGCATCATCCTGAGGCTCTTTAAGGCCGGAACAAGGACATGAAAACACTCTACAATAACTTAAGCAGTAAAAAGTTGTTGTTTTTTTATTCCGCAGCTTGTTAATAGGAGTAAATTCACTGCATTACCTAAACAATGCAGATGTTTGTCTAAAATCAAAGTTGTTTTCAGAGTTCTCTGCAACATTATCATTTGACAAGAGGGAGGTGTGACTTACACCTGAGAGGTTGAAACTGTGCTCGTGTCTGTGTGACATCACCGCATCACTGTGATCGCACACATTCATACTGATGCTGTTGTCTCAGTATAATGCAAATATAACAATGATGGTATTCCATTTGATCAGATGCCTTCATGTTATATTTTTTGCCTCATAGCTGCTGTATAAATCAAATGCTCTCTTAATGTATCGACATTTTGAAGTTGTTGAAATGTACTAACATCGCAGACATATAGGGATCCTTTAAAGTTATTCTTCCTGATCCCACAGCTTCCTCTGTGCCCTTCCATCTGTCGTGTGACCTCATGTCATGATGTGCCTCAGTTCTCTGTGTGTTCATAGAGGAAGCAGAGTTTCCATCTGCTCAGAAAACCTATAAGAATCGTACGTGTTTTAAACTATTTGCACACTGATGAGTTATATCTGTCTATTTTGTGTCATATGTTGCCACACAACAGATTTCATACATAACACTGACGTGGTTTGGATGTCATTGTTTTGTGTCACATAGCCTGCATATTCTGTGAATGGAGAAGAGTTACCCACAAAATAATGAAGAAGACGAATGTGTGAAATCTCTGTAAGTGGCTGCAGTCAAGACAAAATAGACAGATGTTGCATTTTATGGTTCTATCACAAAGTGTACATTTTAGTTTCATTCTTCCAGATCGTTTGTTGTCAGCTCAGATTGTGGAAACATGTTATCACCGTTGACAATATAGGATAATATGCAGCCTCTAAAAGAAAAGTCATAACTGAGGCATTTTGATGTTAATACAGAGGGATGCCATTAATGTAGCTTATTCTTATATTCTTCTTAAAGCAAGTCTTATTTTGACATGTATATTTCTTTGTTTGCATGTATAATCCACTACTGAAAGGACCTTTTCTGGGGATTCCTTCTTTTTTTCTAATTTTCAATTTGTTCAGCAATCATCTTATTGTAGCAGGAGGAGAAAGAGATTTTATTTTTGTAAAGAACTGCCTGTATACTGTTGATATGTTTTGCACTGTAGGATTTTGTTGTCTCATAATTTTTGAAGTAGAGACTGTGATAGCTTTATGTTTAGCTGTGTTTGTGTTGTTGTGAAGGAGCATGACTGATCATGCAGTTGTGTAGCTGTTAGTTCAGCATGGACATGATTAAGTGTCTTTATTAAAAAAAAATAGAACTCATGAAATGTCTGTTTCTAAACAGCCATTTCATTTGGAATGCTCCTTTTGTTCTGTTGCCTTTCTGTTGTGGGAATGTTCAAGAAAAGGTTCAACTTTTCTCTACGTTTCAGTCATTTCTGGATGTGATGATCACAGTAAACCAAACCTGAGCAGTTACATCAAACATATATCAACCCAGTACAGCAGCCATAGCTTGTCATATAAGGAAGGTTGTTCTGTTTATATTCTTTTAGCTGAACTGAGTGCCTATTTTTGAGCCAAAAGAAAACCATATTAAGTAGAGGAATGTAAAGTGTAACCTTTTTAGATATTAGGATTTACAGGTTAACTTTGTCAAGTTAAACCTGGTATCATTGGCAGAATTTGCTGATGTGACCTGCTGTTCTGAACAGAAAAGCACAATGTCTAGATTATTAAAAATTCTTTGCCTACCATTTGTCTGCTGTGAAATGTTTGCTCGGATTTAAATGGGAAGGATGATTCTCTCTAGGTTGCCATGATTGTTTCTTCCATGTAAATATAAGTCAATAAATTGTTGCTTCCAAATTCTGCTGTAGTGTTTGTTTACATAATTTATTTTTACTACATTATTTGTCGTCTTGGGATACACAGTTTATCTTAGAATCACAGCCCTCACACACTTACACCTTCCACTTTCTTCCAGTAAAAGCCAACTATACATTTTACTCAAATATGTTTAAATTCAAATTGGACTGTCATTCTTAATCAACTCTAAGACTAACTGAGATTAACTTAATTTAAAGTACAATAGTTTATTTTATGTGTGTTTATTATCCTCCATCACATATTTTTCTTATAGGTCTTAAGTTTTCAGTCTTGTGAGTAAATATTTGGCAATATATTTGGAAAGATACAGTTTAAGCCTTTGTTCATGTTATTTTGATACAATTCTAGCTGACTCATTTTCTTAGTATCCTCATTAGTGTAACTATTGAGTTGATAAAAAAAAAGGATGCATTTCAGCACAAGGAAACCACTGACAGAGTAATTTGTCCAGCCCTTCATAAATCAATCCAACCATCCATCCATCATCTATATCACTTAACCTTAGAGGGTTGTGTGAGGAGCTGGAGCTAATCCCAGCGGGGTTCACCTTGTACAGGTTGCCAGTGTATCACCGGGCTGACATATAGACAAACAACAAACAACCATGTACTTAATCAAATAACAAAGATTGCTCTCACACATTCATCTCATCAGTGCAGCCACAGTATTGAAGTGTAAAATACATGGGTTCATTTCATCTCTACACAGAACAGCAGATGACTGCTGTAATAATTGTTTCCAAAAAGGACATGCTGGTTTGGTGCTGTCTTTTCTGTGTGAAGCCACCACTTCCAGAGACGCTGAGACAGGACTGTGATCATGTTTGACTTCAGACTGCACAAAGCAGCCTCCCCTCAAACCCCCCAAAATGTCTCTGTCCTTTCTTGGATTCAGAGAGTCCTGTGACATCAAAGATGATGTAAGATGTAAGATCATCCCTGGTCAACCAACCAACCTTCTCCCTTACAAACTAACACATCAGGGAGAGCCCCTGACCTATAGGTTAGGCTCTGACTCCTGACGCCTCTGACTCCTGACGCCTGTAACATAGGATTCACATTGCACAGACACACAAATAGAAAAGCCCATGACACAGACAGACTGAGAAAGAAAGCAAAGGCAGGGAGAAAGGGGCTGATGGTGTACAAAAGGTGATTTATATCAAAACACTCACACAAACTAAACAATTTCCACAAAATATGAATACTATTCGATCTGGAACATAAATGATAGAAAATAAAACCTTGAGCTATCTGTATATTGTTCTGATTCCTATGTGATGACTCATATCCTCATTAGACTGATTCCCTTTAAAGTTAGACCTCACGGTGGAGGTAATAGGCTGCCCTTACAGCATTACTGACACACTTTACCTCACACAAAGAAGATAATCTGGGATGTGAGTGTAATCCTATAAATGTGTGCTTGTCAGTATGAAGCTTTCAAAAAATGTTGACCTTAAAAGGTTTATTAGCTGATGTTGTTTAGGGATGACATATCACTTTGTAAAAGCCAATAACAAAAAACAGTATGACCAGTTTATAAATGAGACGCACAGTTATTGACTATATAAATCAACAGCATATAACAATAATTGCAATAACTCTAACTCAGGAAATCTGTAGTAGTTATGTATATATCTTTTATATAAAAACATATATATGCATTTAAGTCAATCTAAAATAACTGTATTTGTCCCTGGAGGTCAATTCTAAGGCATGTAGAGCAAGTCAAGATAACAAGCACAAACAAGCAAGAACAAAAACAACATCAGTGCAATATCCAGTGAAAAATCAGTGCAGTTTACTAAAATTATAGAGTAAGAGTAGTTTATATGACGGTAGAAGGCAGTGAACAGGATAAAGGCTGTGATTGTAAGAACGTAGATAAATACTGAATGATCAAGTGATCAACCTGCATTGAGGTAAGTAATACAGACATAAAAGATGTACGGAGAAGATGAATGAAGAATATATGTACTGGACCAGGTAGCAGCAGAAGAATAAAGATGTATACAGCAGATGTGTAATAGATGAATAAATATAAAGCTGATGAGTAAGTAAAAGTATATATTAGCGGTGTGTGACAAAGTTCAGTACACATTTACACACAAACACACACAGATATATGAGATAAAATACAATCTGATGCAGTATGAAATGGAAAATACGAAGTAAGATCAAGTGTACTAAAATAGCAGTATTATAGATTAAATATTATCAGGTAACTCAAGTTATTTCTCTAACTAGATACTGCAGTTTTTAGTTATTACCACAGTAGTGTCCCTCTCAAACAGCTGTATCAGCAGCTGGATTCGTTCCTGATCCACTTCCGCCTCCCTGACACACACAGACAGCTGCTGAAGAATCCCGTGCAATGATTGGCTGGCGGCCAGAGCTCCTGCGGGATCTGATTGGCCGCCGCGCGGGGGCACGAAGCAGGGTGGAAAAAGAGCGCGAGCACGTAAGACCACGAGAACGTCCCGTGCTACGTGCTACGTGTGCGGTGACGCAATATGACGCGCGTCTGCTATAAAGCGCAGAGGCTGCCGGTGAAGAGCAGAACAATTAAAGTCTCTGAAGACAGAAAACCCGGGGACGTCTTCACTCCTCTTCTTCACTCCTCTTCTTCACTCCTCTTCTTCGGTCCTCTTCTTCACTCCTCTTCCTCACTCCTCTTCTTCAGCTCCCATCGAGCAGGACGAGCCTGACGCGACGAAGAAGATGAAATACATCATCGGAGTTGGCGGGTAAAATAAACTTATCCTTGATATGTTTTTTAATATAACAATTGTTTGCTAATGTTTTGAATGTTCGCTAACACGTGTAGCTAACTAACATACCACAATGTCACAGCCACCTGGTTTATATTCGAACCAAGACTTCAGACGCACTGTAGAGCTGGTGTCTAAAGTCCGGGGCGTTCATCTGAAGTCAAACTAGTGTTTCTGTTTAAGTTATTAAATGAGTTATTAGCTCCTCGCTTGTTATCGACGGTTTAAACTTTGTACACGAACGTTATCGGCTGCACAGCAGAAAGCGTGGGAGCCGCGCGGTGACACCGGTTTCCAGCCGTGTCCAGGTTTGGACGCTGTTGTCATGAATCGAGCGGGACTTTTGAAAATTCACCGCGAGACCCGGTAGAAAAGTGGAGGGAGACTTCAGATCAGTGTCCCACAACAAAGACAGCTTCCTGTTAGCGTTTACATGTCAACTTTGAATCATTAGACACGTTTCTTGTATTTGTATTGAAGTCTAATGTTGTCTTTGAACAGCGATGTGCTCCACATGTCTTATTAATACGCTGCTGTTTACCACAGTGTATTCTTGCATTTAATCACGTTTAATGAATTTGTTGTTAATAATTATACGTAGTTAAATGTGACCTTTTACCATCTGTATTAAATAACCATTTAAAGATTAAATATAAAGCACGTTTTCTGGTGCAAGGTTTGCACAGATGCTTTTATTTCCACTGAATTTGTTTTAAATAGGAATGGTAGCTGGGAAGTGTTGGTTATCACTTTTTGCTATTTCAGTAATGTTGCAGGTAATAAATAATTAGTGTTATTAATGGCTCCTTGCTTTCTGTTTTCAGAGTAACTAATGGTGGAAAAACTACACTGACTAACAAGCTGATGAAGACTTTACCCAACTGCTGTGTTGTGCACCAAGATGACTTTTTCAAGGTAAGTTTTAGCAGATGGATAGTTCAGAATAACATCAGCTGTAGATATGTAAATCGCCTTGACGTCTATGCAGAGTAGTTTCTTTCACCTGCTTGTCTTTTCTTACCGCTTCCCTCCCTTTCCTTTCCTCTATCGCCTTTTTAATTTTTCAGTAATTTTACTCATGTACAGATTTTTGTAATCTGCAATCTAACACCTTAAACCAATCAACTTTGCATGACTTCACCCTGAACCCCCTTTTTTTTACCATTTCTCATTCACATTCAGGTTTTATTATTTTTTTACATTTCCTTCTTATTTTATTAGAGCAGTACACGTAATAGCTTGCTTTAATTTGTCCATTCCCGTCGCTCTGTGCCTTCTCTGCCATCTTGTGTGTATGTGTACTCTTTGTCCTAACTCTGGCATGTAAGTGGGAACTGCAAGTGTTCAGAGCTGTGAGGTTGCAGCAATGTTTTATTGGTGACTGTTATTTCAGAAACACGATCAGATAGAAGTCGGCGAGGACGGCTTTAGACAATGGGATGGTAAGACTTCACTGAAGACTGCCAGTGTCTCGTTGTTGATATTCACATACCATATAATGTACCAAGATCACATACATTTATAGCCCTTAAGATGCACACCACAATGTCAACATGAAGCTGAAAACCACTTCCAGAGACAACAAGCACATTCCCAATATTTTATAGCCTTTGCTTGACTCTGTTCTGATCTTCCATCCGTCCCCTTGTTTTCTACCAATCTTCTTTTACAGTCATCACAGCTCTGGATATGGAGGCCATGGCCAGCACAGTTAAAGGATGGATGGAGAACCCTGTGAAGTTCGCCCACTCTCATGGTGTCACGTTGTCTTCACCCTCAGTTGTGGCCGACCCAGACGAGCAGATCCACATCCTGATCATTGAGGGCTTCTTGCTCTACAACTACCTGTTAGTTCATACATATGTTTGTTTTATTCTTTAAGTTGACTTGGTTTAATTTAAAGGTCCAGTATGTAAGATTTAGTTGAAAGGGATCTATTGGCAGAAATTTAATGTAGAATAATTCTCATGATGTTTTCACAAGTTTGTTTCATCTAAATTGTATGAATTGTAGTTTTCTTTACCCCAGAAAAGGTCCTTTATATTTAAATACTTTATATTTACATAGAGGGGACCGCCATGTTTTTAACATTAGTCCAGACTGGACAAATTAAACACCTTTGAGTTTTTATGACAATTAAAGGCTGCCACAGGTTCTTTTTCATGTTTAGAAGAGGAGGGTGAGGTGAGGGGTGTTCAGCTGCAACATGCAATTTCAACACAAAATTTCTACACACTATACCTTTAAGCGACTCATCTAACTTATCATTATGTAGTTTGTACTAAGACAAGGAAGCTTAAGTGCCTATCTTGTCCCAAACCACTCACTCTAATTAATAATTGTGGCTAGTAGTTCCACAAAAGCATAGTTAACATGTGTGGTCTATTTATAGACTAATTTGTCCCTCTTTAAACCTTGACACTAGAATTGTCCATGTGAGGGAAAAGGGCGTCCTGTTTCTTACAAATTCTGAGAAATTCAAACAAACATTCAAGGTGCTGCTATTTCTGTCGAGTCACATGATTAGTTTGCTTGCCTACCACTGGCACATTAGCACCGACCCCAGCATGTAGACATGGGGCAGGTTCTGCAATTAGAGATAAGGGGTTTAGCAGAAAGAGGCTCTTGGGGTTGGTGCTGGGTGGTTGATACTGTGGGGTTGATACTGTGTGCTGCAGGCTAAAAGTGAAGCTGCAGAGCTATAGATAAGAAACAGTCGGAAATGTATAACTTTACCCTTTTAACTCTTGTTTGAAGAAGGTATTTATCATAACTGATGACATGGTATTTCTCCCCTCCAGGCCCCTAATGGATGTTTTCAACAAGTGCTATTACATCTCAATCCCCTATGAGGAGTGTAAAAGAAGGAGAAGGTGAGATGATTCAGAAATATTTGGTAATATTTCATCCCACATGTTTTTATAATCAGTGATCAGATTTTCTGAACTTCTTTTAACCTGTATCTTATTGTTATTTTTTAGTACGAGGCAGTACACTATTCCCGACCCTCCCGGCCTGTTTGATGGTCATGTCTGGCCCATGTACCTGAGGCACAGGAATGAGATGAAGGACAGCGGCTTGAATATTGGTATGTTACAGCTGTGTTGCTTCCTCCAATGTGTATTTGTCAGATTATTTTAATTTTTAAGTCCATGCTTTTGATTTGGTCATATTTTCTTGGTGAAATTCAGTGTAATCTGTTTGTCAGATAGATTCTGACAGTTTTTGTTATTTTCTCATCTGATCCCTTCCTGTCTCTTACAGAGTACCTGGATGGTTTGAAAAACAAGGAGGAGATCTACAATCAGGTGTATGAAGACATTCAGAACAACCTGCTCAATCGTTTATAGGTAATAAACAAAACACGTGAAAACACTGTTGTTGTTTTTTTAGTATTGTAAAATCATTTAGTTAGGTGACGAAATAGATGGAAATTTAAATAAAGATCTATTGGAACCGTCTTTGTACAAATTATATGTGCACAACCTCGTCTGACCCCATTTTCTCTTCTTTCTTGCAGCAGGAAGACTCCTCTTCACCCCTGTACAGAATTTGTAAATAGTCCTTAGGATTTTTTTTAAAGATGGTTTTTTTCTTAACTGTATTCTATATGTTTTTGTTATATAGAGCAGAGCAATGTTAACTTATCATTGTCTTTTTATCATGATCAATATTTTTGTTTCCTGAAAAGTTGATTCTACGGATCCTATTTTACTGTTATCTTTGACCATTAGCTCACAAATAAATGTGTTTGTTGATACAGAACATGATTAGTGTTTTTGTATTATCCATATACTTGTTCTCAGGGGACATTAAGTTATAGTTCAGTTTTATTTTCTCTTATTATGGCAACTTTATCTGACTTCATTAAGACAGCACCTGGTCTATAATTCTGTCTCATGCACAGTATAGAATTTTAGTCATGAATGAATTGATGTCTATTCATAATCAGTCAATATATCACATTGGATATAACAGCATTCTTACCTATACAATTACCTTACATCAATTATTCTGCATTCAAATAACATAACAAGATTTCTTTGGGGAATTATCTAGTGCTCTCTGGTGAGAGGCAGCGTACAAAACTGTTAAAAAAGTTGGGGCAATTCTTAAAGAGGGTGACCAGAGCCTGTTTATTCACAGGTTGAAGATTAGAAGAAAGTGGGTCTTTGATTTGAACCTACTACACACAACCTGAATACATAAATTAGAGAATATAAACAAACCGTATTAACTAGATCCAGGTTGAGCCAGTTTGCCTCAGATCTTTTTTAGAGACAGGAAAGACTGAACACCTGTATCTGTCCTGGGAGAGGGTTTCATCTCTGAAATAGCTGCCTTCACTTGCTTGGAGTCGACCCTCAGTAGGTCACAGATGAACCACAAGATTTAGGCTATTAGTGCTGGATTTAGAGCTCGAGGCCCAACACACGTGCTGGTATCACCAAATATTCCCACACGTTTAAAAAGTCCAGAATAATTTCTCATTTCCCCTGAGGGAATACCTCGTCATGACACTGAGTAGACAGTGTGAACTTCAGCATATCATACCACAGCTAAATATGGAAAAGGGGCAGGTAGGGGCAGTGTATTTTAAGGGTCTCCATTTCCAAAGTAGATGGAGGTTAAGTCATTTTAATTAGTGGAACAAAGCAGTGCTTGTGTGTCAAAGTCGGTCTAGGCTTTATGTGTGTTTGTATAGTTGTTGGGAATTTCTCAGGGTTGTTGCCACCACATGTGAACTAGGTCATTCACAGTTCCACTACAGGAAACACTGTTTCATTATTGGATAGAAGCAGTTTAGTTTTAGAACATACTTTTTATGGGATTTAAGTACTAGCCCACCTCGTTCTTTCATTTGGAGTGTCTGGTAATAACCTCTCCGCTCCCACATCTTGACACCTTTTATAGTTACAACCAGTATTTTGGTTTGTCAGCAGTAGGTACATGTAATCTGTCATGTGTGTGTCATGTGGAAATAGGGTTGACGAGGTGATCGCTGTGACGCTCCAACAGATGGACGTCTACTGAACCACACCAGCCTGGACTGCCGGTGCTAAAAATGACAGCAGCATGTGTGAGGACAGTGAAACCACACACACGCACACAGGCAGGCCCACACCGGTGGATGTGTTCAACACAACAAACTTTAACTAGAATTCTGAATTTTTGGATAAAACTCCACAAGCATTCTTACAGGGATACATACGCACACATGTAATCTTATACAGAAGGTTTACAGCAACTTATCACCTCGTGTAAACAGGCCAGAGTGAAACAGTGGCTCTATTATTCCACTGTGCTTTACAGTAAAGAGGGGAACCTTTGAGAAAACAAATCCAGTCTAGACATTTTCCTGGACAAACCTGACCTCATTGCTAACTGAAGCACATGCATCGAGGGTAAATCTGCAGTCAGGAAGAACATGGTTCTGCCTGAGAACAGAGTGTAACAATGTGGATGTGGTTATTTTCAGATTTTCTGATGTTAGTACCGAGCCCATCCTCACACACATACAGAACATTGCAGCTCAGGTGCATGTGCAAGGTGTCCTCGTATTCTTGTTTTTGTAGCTGTTGAATCCCATTCATATCATTCATCACATTGTCACAGTGAGGACACAATGTGCACAATGTGCACAATGTGTATCAGTACTGTACTTGAACTTAAAAAATACCAAAACATCTGCAGAGGACATCCTGCAGACGAGCCGGAAAATGTTTTTTGTTTTTTTTGTCCAGCTGCTGTGTCCAAGGCCAAAAATAAACCTCAAATTGTGATGTGGGTTTAAAATAAGTCATTTGTAAGATTTTAAATACACATTATTAATAAATGAGTGAGTCCAATTTAGTATAAACTCAGGTTTGCTCTCCATGTGTTCACATTCACAGTCAGTGGCGGAAAGTTACTGATTGCAGATTATTGTACATTTCTTCCTTTTTATGTAACTTAACACTTATAGTCCATTGTGTTTCAGAGGGAAATGTACCTGACTTTATTTATCTTGAAGCTATAATTAGAATTTACTGTGCAGAATGGGCTTCATAATAAAGTAATAGGAGACAGTGTGAGCCCAAATGCAATCGCATTTCGGAAGAAGTATTAGAATGAATTATAATAACTAGTAACTATAACTAATGTTTTAATTTGGTTGAGTAAAACAAAACAATAAGCCCCTCGTAGAAGAACTATAGTAGCATAAAAAAACTGATTAAAATAAGTACTTGAGTATTTCACTAAATCTACTTTGTTTCCTTCCAAAAGGGACAGTCAGCAAAGTAATACTGAGCAGGAGATAAGAGTTGAGTGCCTTGCTCAAGAGATCGCTTTTTAGATCCAAACATTTTTTAATGGAAACTATACAGCCATTATTCACTGATGGTGTCTGATACGCCATTTGTGGGGCATTGGTGCATGAAGGTTTAAATTATGTGTGTCAGAGAGTCAGGGAGGGAGGAGACCTTCAGTGTTTACACAGCGAGAGACCAGCCGACATGTTGGAGGAATGACAGCTATCCGGTCACAGCCTGCCTGATCCAACTGGACCTGCACCTTGTGATTGTGTCCCACCACTCTCTCTCACACACACACACACACACACGAGTCACACTACCCTACTCCTGTTTCTCACACTCACTCATGAGTTTATGCTCACGCATTGCTGAAAGGCCCTGAGTGCCTGCCAGCGTGTGCGGGTATATTTGGAGGGCGTCTGTGCTTGTAGTGTTGGTGCAGGAGCAGATACAGGAAGTTTAATACAGTACGACCTCCTCTAATCCTCAGTGCGCTGGCCGTCCTCGTCACGGTGCACTCTGGGCCTGCTACCACGCTCCTGGATACCAGTGTGTCGGCACGTCGCTGCAGCCACAGATGGAGTGGCAGTGGAGGCATGGGAGGACCTCTCACCTACATCAGGGCAGTCAGCAGCCTCTTCATTACAGACAGCTACATGCAGGCCTATCAGAAATAACCCTGAACTACCTGAATCTGGTGTCTCCAGTTTATTCAGGTGTCACACAGGATTTCTTCAGGCGTGGAAAATGCTTTGAAGTGTGCAGATTAGGGAAGACTATCACAGTGTCTTCTAGATGTTGTTTTCCCCATTTATCCTCCTTTGACCCTCTTTCTTTCAAAGATGATCCACACATCAACATGAAGCTATTTGTAAAGAAATTCCAACCAATACATCCCCTTACCACAAAAACATGACAAAATCATGAACCGAGACAAGTTTGGTGGATAAAATATGAAATATTGAATCTCTAAATGTCACCGCTTACTTAATCAGTGACTAGTTGCGATCAACAACAACAAATCAATTGCTCACAGCATCTTCATCATCTTTGTTACACCGGCTCTCAGTCTGTTTTAGAATAGAATAGAATTTGAATGGCCTTCTCTCCTGTGTGCACCAGCACGTATACATGAGATTCTGAGGCAGAGGTCCTTCGCCCGTTAGAGTGACACAGCTGGAAACGAAAGTCCATCATTACCACAAACATTGATCACAAAGCCTGATTTTACTTGAGTTTCCATTTCCCTATTTACCTTTTCGCATACCGATGCTTTTATGGCTCTATAGATGAAGTTTTACCATTATTGTAATTGTTATTATTATTTTTGAAATGATTAATTATGAAAAGTGAATCACACAATAGATAATGGATACAAAGGCCTCCATATTACACATAAAATACTACCTGTTGAAGATTGAGTTATACTGTTGGTCGGTAACATAATTATGTCTTCAAAAGGCTGTAAAACTTGACCTAACTTTGAAATGTGCTCTGATATGAAGTGCAGACATCCTATAGACAAATCGGTGTTGGGTATTTCTTAAATACACATTGAAGAATTGTTTCTAAAGTCAAATAACTTCAGTATGATTCCTTGTTTGAACAACATCAAGATTTTTAATTTAGACCAACATTTTGGGCCAGGACTTTCTGTAATAAGGAGTGACAGAAACAGAAACAGATTACAGTCACGTCATCTTTGTCTTTCTCTACATTCATGGTGATAACTGAAGAGACCGTGACGTATGACACCTGCTGAAGTCACGAGACTCAAACAATGAAATAGTTGTGAGGCGAACCTTAGACAGTCTGTGAGGATACATCGCCATCGTGTGGTGGAGACAGGGATCAGGACCTCGGTCTAGTTCTCTCACTCAGGACTCTCTGATCAAAATTCATCATTCATTCTGGTACTCAAACTACCAGTTCTCTCGGTAACTGTACAGTTAAATCTTCTGAAATCTCTGTCACCTTTCAATGATCCATTTAAAATAATATTTCACATCAGCACGTTTTGAGTGCCATAATAACGTACCCAACTTTAATTTTCGTAAAAAATAAATATACATTATACTCCCTTCTTTATATTTGTTAATTTCTTGTGTGGAAATCAAATCAATCGTCCATAATAAGTTTAATTAAACTTTCAGTAAGTATCCATGGACCTGTACCGTAAGACCACGAATAGACCAGAATAGACGCATCCATTTTCAAAGTGCGTCTGGCGTGACCTGGTTTTCACAAACCACAGACCACATGACCACAGCACCTCACTACTTATGAGCCACTCGAATGTTCTTCGTTAATTTCTTGTCAGATAGAGACACCATCGCACCGAGACATGGAGAAGCTTGTGTTAATTCTCCTCCTCTATTTTCTGGTGTGTTTGGGCACAGCTCAGCAACATTTACGCGCACGTGCCGGACCGTGGAGACACCGGATTCAGTGGGAGAACAACGGTCAGATGTACAGTCTGCTGAGCACCGGGACTCAGTACCGCTCCCCGGCACAGACCAGAAGACGCACTGAGCTTTTACTAACAACTAAGAACAGTTTCAACAGAGTGAACCCTCCTTTAGCGCCCATGCGACCCACCAGAGCCAGAGCCGGACCCCCAGGGGCCGCAGTCTGGGTTCACTCACTCCAAAACGACCTCGGTCCAGGGGATGCATCAGTTCTTGGTGCTGATGCGGGTCAGTATTTACTCGCCTCGGGACGACCAGGGACACCCGGCCGGTCTCCACTGAGAATGACCTCTGCCGGAGGGGCTGTGGCTCTGGGATACAGTTCACACCAGAGTCCGTCAAATAGCACCACTGCCTCCATCCAGGAGTTCTCCGGCAGCGGGGTCCCACGAGGTGGTCGGAGCACAACACGAGATGAAGCTGGTGCACAACAGGTCCCTGCATCGCCGATTAGATCCCCGGACTTTACGCGCAGCCGAGGTGGCCAGATTAGACCTGAGAGCTCTGATTCTAGTGTCCGGTCACCTGTCACATCTGGATCGGTCTCCATGCCTGAGGATAGCGGGAATGCGCGTCGCATCCTTCAACAAACTAGTGTGGGTGATGTGCCCACTGCGCCCAGAGCGCGCTTACAGACCAGACTCACACCGGAGTCAAACGTAGTTCCCACTGCGCCGTCCGGCAACTCTATAGAAATACACTTTCGTCCAATGCCGGATGAAGCACGGACTACAGACATGAGTGACCCAAGAGATCCACACAGCATTCATCACAGGAACTCGGTTTTCTACAACGTTTACCCACCAGACCGCAGGAACAGAGGCACTGCGCGCCCTCCGCCAGGAGCCGGCTATGGCACCAGGTTCTTCCACAATGGTGAGGCAGAGAGAGGAGATACAGAGACAGTGTGTACAAGCAGTTGGCAAAAGAGTTTGGTCATCACCTCCATCGTGATAAAAAATACACAGGAAGATAATAAGAGGCCACTAGAGAGTGTTTAATCTCATGTACAATTATACAACAATTTAATTCCAGGAAATATGGGACATATTACCAAGCATAGAATAGAGAACTATTCAGAGTGAAATTGATAATCTTCTGTGGTTTTCTAATTTTGTACTTAATCTGCAGTAATGGAGAAATGATTTCTTTATGTTATGAAGTAACATAATAGAAAGTACAGTAGACTTCTCTAGTCACTGCTTTGATTAATATTAAAGTATTTGATATTAACCATATAAAAAATACAATTACTTGATGATTCCCTCGGTTCAGTGACAGCATGAATAATGTGATTGTTTTTGTCAGTTAAAATCTTTTCAGTTCTCTTGTGTATTACATGAGATACAGGTACACATATATCTCTCTGCTCCAACATTCTGTTTAATGCAAGACCAGTCTCTGTTTCTTTCTGGGTCCTGATACATATACATGATTTTGAGGTGGATTTGTTTTCTGCAGGTCTTCCAGACTTGGTTCCTGATCCTTATTACATCCAGGCTGCCTCTTACATCCAGAGAGTGCAGATGTATGCACTCCGCTGTGCTGCTGAAGAGAACTGTCTGTCCAGGTACACCTCTTTATTTGACAGTAACAGTCAGTCAAGTGAAACCAGTTAATCACATTATCTGTTGTTCATCAGTGTTTCTATAAGTAACGTTTAATGACTCCTGTATTGCAAACTGTCCTTGTGGAATATTTGAAATTCTGAAATTCTGCAGCTGAATGATATTTCTACAGACAAAAATCAACGGTGTTCACGTGTATGAATAAAAAGCACGACAACCATTCAGAATTCCTTTGAGGTTCGTTGCCACATCAGGATGAGTGTCGGCCTCTGTCCTGTTGGGATGTTACAGCTGAATGACAGAGCGGCTGGACACAAACCTGGCAGCCGCCCGACTCTCTCTCCTCTGATCTGAGCTGCCACTCTGCCAAGTAAAATAAGCTCTGAAGTGAGAGGCAAAGGATTCCTGAGGTGAACACAAGAACTACTGAGGCAAGACCAGAAACCACTTCTGCCGCCGTGGCGGTGGATCAACGCTTGTCTTATGGTCAGTGGTGGACGAGACAAAGTTCACTGTGCAGTGAAGTGCTGTTTGCACTGATGGATAATGTGATGTAAAGATGCTTCTGGCATGAAACACAAGTGGCTGGTCACTCAGTGGTTCAGGTTCAAGTGTCTGAGTGAAGATGCTCAGGGTGATCTGTCCTCATTAGTTTCCTGCTTCCTTCTCCTCCAGGTCTGCGTATCATCCGAGTGTGAGCGACCTCGACTACAGAGTCCTGCTGAGGTTCCCACAGCGCGTGAAGAACCAAGGAACAGCAGACTTCCTCCCAGTGAAGCCCAGACATGAGTGGGAGTGGCACAGCTGCCACCAGTGAGTTTAATCTGGGGATGAATCTCTAAATATATATTGAAGAACTTTGATGCTCTATTGGATATTTGAACACTGGTCTGTTTTAGATGTGAGGAAATGATGTGACTGTACAAGACCAAGACAACAATTGGATGTCAGTTTTCAGGACACATTAGCATTACTCATGTGGATCTTTCTCTGTCTCTCTGCAGACATTACCACAGCATGGAGGCCTTCAGTAACTATGACCTGCTGGACGTCTCCACCGGACAGAAGGTGGCCGAGGGACACAAGGCCAGCTTCTGTCTAGAGGACACATCATGTGACCGGGGAATACGACGACGCTTTGCCTGCACCGCTCACACACAGGTTGGTCCGCGCGGTCTGTGGTTTACTCGTTTTTCCATTGATCCATTCATTCAATATTTTCGATTTCATACGTGTTGGGTTGTTTCCTGTGTTTAAATGTGACGTGATTCATTAGGATCATGTTTGGAAACACACAAATTCTTCCCTGAAGCAAACAGAAGGTGAATGATGTGAGTCTGCCTTTGTCTCAGGGGCTCGGTCCTGGTTGCTATGATACGTATCACGCAAACATCGACTGCCAGTGGATCGACATCACTGATGTACCGCCAGGAAACTACATACTCAAGGTGGGGGCGTAGATCTGCTTTATGAGTGTGGGACATTATAAATAATAAGTTAGACTGAGTTATAATAATAAATATGATTAAAAATCTGATTTTCAGTGTGTTTTCTTTTCTACATTTCATTTCTTTTTCTTTCTGTTGTTTTTCAGGTGACAGTGAATCCCTCTCAGCTCGTCCAGGAGTCGGACTTCTCCAACAACGAGGTTCTCTGTGACATCAGGTACACAGGAGGCTATGTCCAGGCGAGAAACTGCAGGATTACAGTGTAAGTAAGAGACGGACAGAGTTCTCACATCTGAACCACTGAGATCAGAAACACAAGCCGATCACTGGTGTCTATTGTTTGTTTTGACAGGAGCTGACGAGACTGAAGACGACTTTACCACAGAAATATGTTCCTCTCTGTGTACAGTTGCTTCTCTGTTGTGCAGCTGTTTAGGAATATTTACTGTTATTATAATTCTCTTTGTATTTATGACATAATATGTTGGAGCTAGAGCCAAGCTGGATTGATGCTATCTTTTTTGTTGGATTAACTATTTTCAACTGGTATTTAGTCAATGCAGGACTTAGGGAAAAGCACAATTCCCAAACTTAAAACAAACACAGTCTTAAATTATTACATTTTTACCATGTGACTGAATTGGGAAACTGTGATGCTCTTTATTTGAGAAAAGGTCCTCTGTTAAATGACTGTATAAGTGCTGTTACAATACAGAAAAAACAAATACTCTAACATATTTTATTGTGTAGATTTATTGTGTAGATTTTTCTAGCAGTGTCTCTGAAAATGAATGGTTTGTAACGGGTTATGAATGATTGAAAGGTTGTCTGCATTTGTGTCGTATTTTTAATAAAGTTTTTTTTGGAAACAAATGTACTATGAAGGCTGTTTTCTCCTTCGGATTCTAATGATCAATAGGTTTAAAGCTTATATGTCCAAAAGTGTAACGAGTAGGAAAAAGAAAAGCAGGAATTTCCTGAACGAGATTTCCTGAAGGTTTTGATGGTTGAAGTGTGGAGGAGTCATCGGCAAATGAGTTCCAAAATTGCAACCAAAAAGGGGCAGAAGTAAATAATTCATATATAATAATAAAGAAACAGGAAAACAACAGTGTGAATGCCGACACCAGTGGCAGATCTAGGATTTTTCTGACTCAAGGGACATAAAGGGGTCAAAATTAATACAGAAGGGCCAATTATAATATTTGTCCAACATCCATGCACAATTCCTGTTCAGTAAGGTGCACGTTTCACCTTACTGTACAAATTACAGTAAGGTGAAACCCCCCCCGGCTCACACAAATAACCACTATGGATGAAATAACTTGAACAAATATGAACCATGAAGTCATTCCACTGTCTAGCTTGCATCAACAACCTGTCCACGATGAACAACCTGAGCTGGTGGTACATTTCTTGAATGCCTTTGGAACAACACACCTCGGAGAGACATGTGAAAATGATTCCACTTTGCACGTTTACATCCGTGAGAAATGGCACCAGAGGACGTCCATCAGCTGTTCACCACCGTCCTGCTGTTGTTGCATATTTTTCATGTTGTGTTAAAGTGGATGAGTGATTGAGAAAACATTTATTCACCTGTCAGTGGCTCCAGATGAGGTGTCTGGAAGAGTCTCGCTCTGTTTGCACTTTGTCACCAGATTTATGCTGCGTGATTGGTAAATGTATAAATAATCACCACAAGATTTATTTTTACAGTAGCGATGTTTGCTGTTCAGCACGAATACATGACCTCACTGTGTTCCAATGTTAAATATACAACAGTGAGAGGTTTTTTCTGTTTCTCACTCTCATTTGTTTCAGCTCCACATTTCTCTCTCCATGTGTGTCGTGTTAAATCTTTGTTTGACAAACAGAAACTTTGTGCTGGTCTTTTTGAAGTTAAGGATTTCAACAACTTTCATGTCAAAAGAAGGAAATGAAAGGGAAATGTAGATGATGAAAAAGGAAACAGGTTCAGGATGTTCTTGAGTTGAATATTGAGGCCGGTCGGAGCTGAGGTCATGGAGACTGCTACTGTAACACAACTACACACGATCATGACCAACATGTAGCAGGGACGACGACAGCTTCTGCACTCACCATGATGATCGACTCCATGTGCTGCTGGTGTTGAACATTTCTTACTTTTAAGAATTTGTACAGAAAACTGTAAGAAAGTTTCTGAATAAATTGAAGTACTGAAAAAAAGGTTACAGTGCTGGAAGATCCTGTTCACATACTTTATTTAAATAAAGGTACAATAATGTAAAAATAAATCCTCTATAAAAGGTGGAAAGTATAGATTAGCTGGCTGAGGTAGAGCTTGTTCAAAGAGGTTATGTTCATTTATAATTTATTCTATATATTTATTTTAGTGGTTTATATCAGCTGGTGGATCCAGGAATTCTTTTCACTTTCTTTAACATTGTGACATAGGCCGTTTTCCATGATTTTTCAGAGACTAATTCTTGAATCTTGAAAAAAGATCACACATATTAAGGGGACTGATATTTATGAGTGTGTGCAATTTGGTGCAGATTTAAATAAAAATGCATATCTGTTGAATTTAAAAGTGGTTTCATAAGGCGACTGTCGGGCCTTGGTGGAGGTATGTGCTCTCCGATGGCCAGACTTCTATTCTCAAGTCCTCTTGTTCATAACTTAGTGTCAAGCTTCTCCGAAGAATCACAAGATACAGTTAATGTGGGATTGAAGAGAAAACTAAGTTCTGATACATTCATTTGTATCAATCATTCATCTGGTAGTCTCTGACGTTTTGTGAAATTCGGGATAATTTTGTTTATTTAAAGCTTGAACAAATAATTTGAGAAATTTGGATGAGAAATGTGTTATTTAGAGATTTTAGTCAGATATATATAAAAACGTTTGGCAGTTTTCTCTGTCAGATATCTGTTCAATTAAGTAAAAGCACAACATTTCCTTTGAAACGCAGTGGAGTAAACTATAATTTGAAAATACCTCAAAAGTAAAGATACAAAAATAAACTCAGTTACTTGACGATGATATAATTACACGCATGGAAAAGATGAAAAGGCTTAAAAATTTTAGATCTCAGTTTATCCATATCACAGTGGGTATAAACCCATTTTACAAATCCCCAGATTTCTTTCATCGTCTTATCCAAACATGGCCCCTCTGTCGAGCCCACACCATCTTTGGTCAGAGAGCCCTCAGGGTGAGCCCCCTGATGGGAATTTGAGTGTAACAGAGGGTCAGGACCGAGACTCCTCCGCTGCTCCAGGTGCTGTTTGCTCAGAGCAGACCAACGTTGCCATAAGCCTGCAGGGCGTGCAGGATGGGGAGTGGTCCTGGTCGCCCCTGCCTGCCACGGCTGGAGATGACAGGGAGGAGAGAAATTCCACAGATCTGCAGACGGCCAGGAAAACCTGACTGCTGACATCAGCAGCACCACGGCTAAACCGTTCTTATCGTGAGCTGAGTGTCTGTGAGGCTAAGCCCAAAAGGTCTGAGTGTCTGAGACTCCCAGTCAACAAGTGTCAGAGCCAACAGGCGAGACTGCACGGACAAATGATGGAGGTTAGAAATGCCCCTTTAAATTATGGCCCTGAGTGGAAGAGGCTGGAATCAAAGATAGATTTGACTTTTTTTCTTTTATTCAGCATTTTCTTCTGTCTCATAAATAGTCCTGTTAATTTCAATTATTCTCACTTCAGAGAAGCCATGCACACTTTATTAAAGTCACATTAATTGAGTTTATTTGGTTTCTGGTCGGCAGGTGGATTATGTCACAGTGGACACATCAGATTTAAATTCATAAATCTCTTAATGATGTGAAGTTGTGTTGTTAATCAACCAAACAATCAGGTCGAGAGATTTGTGTGAAGTTTTAATTCAGATTTGACAGAAACTGATTGGAAAGTTGTTTTTCCTCCACAGACATGTTTCCTCTGTTGCTGTTCAACAAACAAACATGCTAAATTAACTCTACACACACACACGTGGTGATCTTCAGCTCCCCGCTGTTTGTGTAAAGTCTGGACTTTGAATTTGCACCATTGGTGGGATGATTTGACGCCACATGTTGTGTTTGTGGTCTGTGTTTACTTTTGTTTATAGCCAAGAGAAGAAGCTGTTTGTGTGAGTGCAGTGGGAATAACTGAATATTTCTCCTCCTCCTGGTTTTACACAGCTGGCATCCTGAGGGAGGAAATAATGTTTACCTGGGCAGGACGAGGACTCACTCAGTCTGACCATCACTACAGACCAAACAGCTTTCCCTGTCTGAAATAGAAGAATATGAGCCTAATGGTGCCTGTACTTTCCCTCCCGTCACTGCTGTGCAAATATTAATACACTCAACAGGCTGCATGAGTGAAAACACACTGTTATTAATTCTGTTCAAGAAGTGGGATTGGACAAGGAGGAGGTCTGGATGAGGTTATTCAACGGAAACACTCCGGTTGGTTTTGGTCTGAATTTGAGTCTAAATGCTCAAACTGTTTTATGGTTTTTACACATGAGTGTCCGACAGTGTTCGAGGGTCTGGTCTCGTACCAAACATCTGTTACGCTTCACCATGAGGATTCTTTATGGCTCCGGACACATGCATATAAAAAACGTATGTACACATGCAGACATGTGGGAGCAGACACGAGACTGATGATGTCTCCTGTGACACAAAATGTGGTGCTACTGTGAAAACAAGAGGAATGTACATGTCTGTGTTGGCAGGTAAATGTGGATTTTGGAAGGATGGATGATGCACGACAAGGCCCAGGCATTCAGAGCTGGACATTCCAGGCTCATGATAAAGATATTTTATTCTTCAGAGGATACACAGCACTTTGACAGCACTTCACGAAAACAGGTTGGTTCAATTTTAAAAATCTTTCAATGTCAGAGATTTTTCTCTCACAACTGTTAAGGAATTGAATAGAGTTTTTTTATTTGAATGAAAAAACAGCTAAAATCATTGAACTCAATGTTCCTCTGGTGTTTGTAGTATTTGTAGCAGTTTCCTCTCATTTAAATCCAGATTTTCTTGTCTCAGTAGAGCTCTCACCTGTTCTGCTGGACGGAGAACTCCAGCTATTCAAATTTGGCTGTAGGAGGGCGACACCATGCGGTCAGAGAGGGTAACCTCATAATACAGAAAAAAAACATGAAAAAACATTAGTATAATATTACTTCAATTTGATTTATATTATTATTATCATGTCACGTCAAATCTAGACGCTTTATTCATTTGTGTTTTGTTTATCTTTTTTTAATTTGGTTTCGGTTTGGTCTGTGACACGGCTGGTGACGTCACTCTCAGTGGACGGGGCACCGGGGGGGAAGCGGAGCGGCCACTTTGAGCCTCTCACACAGGACAGCAGGAAGAGATGGCGGCTGAACTCACCTGCCGTGTTGTGGCCATGACCTGGATGTTTTTGCTCGTGTCGGTGTCCTCCCTCGTCCCGGCTGCGGCCTCCGCTGAGCGGACGAAGACGGTGGAGTTCAACGTGAAACCTGGAGGAGTCGTGCACACGTTCACCGAGAGAGTAGTGAGTGACAGTGGGAGAGTCTTCATCTGACTCTGTTAGCTCAGCTACTTTCATTATTTACTTTCATTCACCATGAACTTCTTTTATTAATGTTTTATTCATCTTAATTTATCCTCTGTGAGTTTGACTGTAGTCCAGTTCACCGTGTGCGTTATTGTTATCGCTCCATTGTCGCTTATTAGTCTTATGTTAGCCTATTAGCAACGTTAGAAAAGACATTATGAACTTTAATGTGAGTAAAGTCACGTTTCCGTCGTTAAACATTTGTTTAATTTATTTATTTCACCTTAAAAAACGTGTAATTGAAAAAAACTACATCCAGCTGGAGTTGCAGCCTGATGACGTCACGGCCGCTGAGAGGCTGACACGTCGCTGCCACAGCGGCTCCTCTGATTGGCTGAGCTGCAGTCAATGAGAGCTGCTGTTCTGGTTGAACAGGAAGTGTTATTGTGATTTCTGTGCAACAAACCTGCCACCGACTGTTCTTCTTACTGTTCTTTATTCACCCTTAGTCTTTAGATTGTGTTTAAAGCATTATATTGTTATATTATAACACACACCCATCACAACCAGCCCTTTGTCATAGCAACAAAAGCACAGGGGTCAATAGTAACATGAATGGTGGCTGTGGTGTGGCGGCATAATAAGATGTTAGTTATTATTATAATGTTATGAGCAATAATGATCATTTGCTACATCCTAATATTGATATTCTATGGGATTTAACTGTTAAAAATCTGTGTAATTTCAATAACAAGCAAGTCTGTTATAC